AGACTGCTCAAGAGCCCCCCAAGATCGCCCCAAGATCGCCCAAGAGGCCTCCAGGATGGCCCCATAACTGCCCAAAGTGAACCCCGGGACGGCCAAAGAAGGCCCCAGGACGGCTCAAGAGGCCTCGCAGACGCCCAAGTTTGCCTCCTAATTAGACGGCCCCGAAACGCTTTCCCTTCATTTCGGCCCCCAGAGCCCGTCTGCACGTCTCGACGAACATCCTCCAGCATCCATTCGGGTTTGAATCACGGCTGGGTCGCATCAGGCGCAAAACTGCTGTACGTATCCTTTTTCGCAAAATCACCACTTCCCAGAGGAAGCCCGCGACAGACGCACTTTGCCTTTACAAAGCTTTCGGCGCACAGAGGGTCATTGGGCCATCTCGCTGCAGCAAAAAAGCCACGCCACGGGACCATCAAAAAAGGATCCGAGGCGAAAACCCCCCCCCCCCGGGGAAGCGGTCGGTAGCCACTGGGGCCACGGATCGAAAAAGAAACATCGGTGGATGTCAGGGTCCGCCCGCGCTGGTTCTCTGGGGGGGGGGGGCGCTGGTTCTCTGGGGGGGGGGGGGGGGCGCTCGTCGCCAGGGCTGGACTCGCCCCGGGATCCTGGCCAGAAGCCAGGGGTAACGCTGGGAAGAGGCTCCGGGGGGGAATGCACCGACCTTTAATCGCCCACTGACAGCCCACCCCGCCCACGACCGTGCGGTTTCGCTGCCTGGGGCCTGTCGCTGACCTATCGGCGACGTACCACCGTTTCCAGCTCGAGGATCCCCCTCCCCCACGCCCCTGAGGCCGGCCCCCCCCGCCGGACGTTCCCCTGAGATGGCGGCGCGCACAAAGGAGCGGCGTGAGGGGCGCCGCCTTCCAAGAAGGCGGGGGACCTTCTGAGGTGGCAGGGGGCTTCTCAAAGCCGAATCAGGGGCAGCGCTTGGGGGGAATAGGATCAGGGATTTCCGCATCGTGGACAACAACGGCGGAAGGATTCTGCGCGCTCTCGGCCCGGAGGGCGTCAAGACACGGCTCAGGATGAGAAGCCCGTCCACGGCAACAGGCCCGGAAGTCTGGGGAGCCACGTTGTCTACAAACAAGCAAACAAACAAACAAGAACAAAAAAACACGAAACAATAACATAAAAATAAAAAACAACAAAAAAACGTGGGATGTCTGGACAGGGTCGCACAACCCCGGATCGGCTGGACGACGCGGCCGCCAGCGAAGCAGAGCGAAGACAGAGGAGGAGAAGGAGAAGGAGGAGGAGGAGAAGGAGGAGGAGAAGGAGAAGGAGGAGGACGAGGACGAAGACGAGGACAAGGAGGAGAACCACCAGCACCTTGCCACGTGGAAAGATCATCCCGAGGGAAACGGGCGCTGGAAACCAGGACCCTTTTCTGGGACCAGCTTTCCATCATCAACCGTTCTGTGACGGTCCAGCGGCCTGGGAAGGACCCTGGGAGCCCGAAAACAGTGAAACATCTGGCCCCCTTCCTGCAATACGGGAGCGAACATGCACATTTCCACGTATCTATCTATACATATATACGCACACATATATACACTCAACTAAATATCTAAACATACATATAAGCACTAGAACTGCGGGGATTGGAAGCTGAAGGAAAGAAAACATGGCGACAATCAGATGTTGAACGCACTGGTTAACTTCCCGTACAATATATCAATATGCGACAGCGCTCGGGCCCCTCTTATCCGAGCCGGGATTGCGCGGGCAATCGAACAGCTCTGGCGGAGAAGGAAAACAAATGGAAGAAGGGGACCATAACTGCCCAGACCCCCAGCACATGCGGCAGCACGCGGGCTGCCCCTCTGCAGCGGGTGGTTCGCTCGGGCTCTTCGGTCCGACATTGGACGAGCTCGCGCGCATGAGCGATGATGGCGCGTGTTCTCTCGTGCCCCATCTGCGCGCGATGTTGGCCCTGTGGCAACCTACGTGACGTCTGAAAGCCGGTCTTAAGACTTCGGCAAACAGATGGCCCCTGGACCACGTGGAGGGCGGTGTGGACGCGTAGGCGCCTTGACCTGATGATCCACGGAAATAGACTTCGAGGGATGTGCGCACTTTCTGGCACGATCGCCCCGACGCCCACCGCGGTCACGAGCTGCGGAAGCCGTTGCGTCCACGACCAAATGCGACCTCCTCGCTGGCTGCGCCGGGCTCGGCAGTGCCCACGGGAAAAGGTACTGCCCGCGGCAGACGACTATGATGGTGATGATGAAAAATGATGATGATTATGATTATTACGATGTTGATGCTGATGATGATGATGATGATGATGATGATGATGATGATGATGATGATGATGATGATGATGATGATGATGATGATGATGATGATGATGATGATGATGATGATGATGATGGTGATAGTGATAAAAAAGATGACGATGATGATGATGATGGTGATGCTAACGATGATGGTGATGATGACGATGGTGGCGGTACTGATGATGATGGCGATGAATATTACGACGGCGATGGTGATGTTTATGACGGCGATGGTGATGATGGTGGTGATGATGGTGAGGATGGTGACGGTGGTGGTGGTGACGATGAAGATGGTGGTGATAATGATGATGGCGGTGATGATAGCGGTACTGGTGATGGCGATGGTGGTGGTGGTGGCGGCGGTGGTGATGGTGATGGTGATGGTGATGGTGATGGTGATGGTGATGGTGATGGTGATGGTGATGGTGATGGTGATGGTGATGGTGATGGTGATGGTGATGGTGATGGTGATGGTGATGGTGATGGTGATGGTGATGTTGACGACGATGACGAGGATGACGATGATGCTGAGGACATTGCTTCGGAAGACGATGACGATGGCGATGATGACGATGATGACGATGACGATGATGATGACGACGGCGATGGTGACGGTAATAAAGATAGTGGCGATGGCGACAAGGACAGCAGTGGCAAGGAAGGGGAGGACGGAGGAGGAGGAGGAGGAGAGGGGCGCGGGGACTGTCTCTTCAAAACGAAGACCCAACAACGCAGGATGGTTGGGAAAACGTGAAGAAAACAATGTTTGAAATGCGACGTCAAAAAGAATGCGTGGAGAGCGCCGAAAAAAATCCGCACAGAATCAGGGGAGAGAGGAGAGCAGCATTCATGATATGAAATTGCGAAGTGCCGCGGGGGGAAGAGAAGTGGGGGAGAGCGGGGGCGGCTGGGAGGAGAAAGAAGAGTGGGGGAGGGCGACGGGCAGAGGGAGGGAGGGATGGCGGGCCACTTTGGAAGCACGGCTGCTATCTGTAAAATCGCGTCGGGACGTCGCTCCCGTTTTCTTTTTCTCTCTCTCTCCCTCTCTCTCGTTCTCTCTTTGTTTTTCTCTCTCTCACTCCCTCGTTTCCTTTTTTTCTCTCTCTCTCTCTCTCTCTCTTTCTCTTTCTCTTTCTCTCTCTCTCTCTCTCTCTCCTTTGTATCTCTCTCTCACTCTCTCTCTCTCTCTCTCTTCTCGGGCCACGCGATGGCGCGAAGGGGAGGTGGAGGGAGAGGGAAGACGGAGGGAGCAATAATGCTGATGAGTCATCAGAGAGGGGGTCTGCAGGTCATCGGCACTAAGAGGGGGGGGGCAATCTTATGGGGGATCAAAGGTGTGTGGGGAAAGAGGACAAGGAGGAGGAGGAGGAGGAGGAGGAGGAGGAGGAGGAGGAGTGAGAGAAGGATCGCCGCCGCGCACGTCGCACGCACCGTGCACACAGGTGGCCTCGATGAGTTCCTGCTTGTCAAACTTCGTCGCGGTCCACCTCCACGCACCCGCCTGCACTGCCATCGCAGCACGCCACGCTTAGCTGGTCGCGCCCGGCGCGCGCCGACGGAGCGGCCTGACCGTCAACCCTGCGTGGTTTTCGTGCGTTTGGCATGGTGGATCGCTCGAATTTGGGCGCCTTGCTCAATGCGTGTGCGGATCGCACGGCCCTTCCCCAACGCATGCGCACACAGTTGAAAGCCGGAAGACTTGTGCTTACAGTGTACCAGATCACTTCCGTTGGAATTGATGCTCGATTACCCGCAGCGTGTTGCATCGAAACGCGGGCTACTCGTGGGGAAAAGCGTGTGCGTGCACCTGTGCACGTGCATGTGCACACGCACATGTTTGCTCATACGCATGTGCATTTGCAAACATGTTTCTGTATGCTGATACATGCACGGGCTCGGTCTACAAATGCCGGCGTATACGTCAGGGCAGCCATGGAACAATTCGGAAACTACTTCGATGCTGCCCGAGAAGGGTGGCGGGACTTGCCCTGAGAGTTGGTGCAGACATTATTCAATAAGAGCAACGACAGAGAGATGAGGTGGGGGGATAGGGAGAGCAGCAACTGCAGCAGGAGCGGATGGAGCAGGCGGACACGCATGGAGGGTAGAGGAGAGGGTTCAGAAAACTTGGACTCTGCACTTGGAATTGGAGGTCGCCGACGCAAGTACGGGGAAGAGGAGCGGCAAGAGGAACAGAAGCAGGAGCACCAAGAGCTGGACATAGAGGAAGGTGGCAGACATAGCGGAAGACAGAAGAGGGGACTGGAGGAGAGGGAGGAAGCCGAGCAGCATCAGTCATGAGTTTTGACTGCATGGATGCCATCCTGCCCCATCAGCAATCGCCTGGGTCCTCGCTGGAATCAACGCCGGCCACACTCTCCATGCTGTACTGAAGACGTGGCATCAAAAGCAGGGCTGGGAGGGGCGTCGTTGAAATAGTCGAAATAGCTGAGCTGGAGGATGACGACGCGGCAAGTCGAATCCACCGCCGAACACTGTTCATCGCAGGGGCGAGTCAGTGTACAGCTCCCAGTCACCCCACGCAGATCCTGTCAAGCCGTCCTGGTAGAACATGCCAATGATTGCCATCATCGCCAGCCGTCCATTCGCGATCTCGGCATTCAGCTTGCGGGACTTGAGCTCCCCAGCAGGCAAAGTACTGCCGTTGGGAACGCCCAGCACGCCACCGTTCTCGTAGTCGCCTGGGGCCCTCGACGGGTCGTACACGAACAAGCCCTTCTCAAGCAAACCGCAGAACAGGAAGATTTGGACCCACCCCGCGCCTGGAACCTTAGATAGCGCTGCGAGACCATTCGGGATGTCTGCAAACTGGAGGCCCTTGGACGGAGAGCAATAGCCTGGCCACTTGAAGTACTCGGGAATGATGTAGCCCATACACGCCCACATGGACACACGCCCGTGCTTGATCTCAGTGACGCGGCGCCTCTTGAAGGCCTCAGTGTCGCCGTCCTTGCTCAGGCCGGCTGGGTCCCAATAACCGAAAGGAGCCTGCACGCCAAGCTCGCTCTCGAAGGCGCGTAGCGGCGAATCCGTGTAGAGCGCCCAATCGCCCCATGCGCTGCCAGTCAGACCATCCTGGAAGAACATCCCGATGATCGCCATCATCGCCAGCCTGCCGTTGGCGATCTCCGCGTTCAGTTTCTTCGTCTTCGCCTCGCCATCGAAACCAGAGAGCAGGGGCGGCTTCCAGCCCACATCGCCTGGCGTCTGCTCAGTGCCGATGTAGTTGAAGCCGAGGCCGGACGCCTCGACGTACAGGCAGTAGATGACGATTTGAAGCCACCCGAGGAAAGGGACCTTAGAGATGGCTGCCAGGCCATTCGGGATATCATTGAAAGCAAGGCCCTTGGACGGACTAAGGTACCCTGGGAATTTGCCAGCGACCTCGGGCGTGATGTAGCCCATCGTAGCCAGCATCGACACGCGGCCATGCTTTATCTCGGTGGACCGACGGCGCCTGAACGCCGCAGCGTCACCGTCCTTCGAGAGACCGGCAGGGTCCCAAAAACCCACGGGTGCCTGCACGCCCAGCTCGCTCTCGAACGCGCGCAGCGGGGATCCAGTGTAGAGCGCCCAGTCGCCCCACGCGGAGCCGGTCAAGCCGTCCTGGAAGAACATTCCGATGATAGCCATCATGGCAAGGCGACCGTTGGCGATCTCTGCCGCCAACTTCTTCTGCTTCTCCCCGGCATCACTGGACGTTAGCACCTTGAAGCCGAAGTCGCCTGCGGCGGCAGCGGTGCCAGCGGACTGGTCCTGGGACAGCTCGCAGAACGCGCCGTACGCCACGATCTGCGCCCAGCCCGCCGCGGGAACCTTGGAGATCGCCCCGAGCCCGTTCGGGATGTCCGCGAACTTCAGGCCAGCCGAAGGCGACAAGTAGCCAGGCAGCTTGCCGGTGATCTCGGGCGTGATGTAACCCATCGTCGCCAGCATGCTCACACGGCCGTGCTTGAGCTCTGTCTGGCGCCTCCTGGCGAAATTCGCCGTGCTACCATCCGCTGTGAACCCGGCAGGGTCCCAAAAGCCCACGGGGTCCTGCACGCCCAGCTCGCTCTCGAACGCGCGCAGAGGGGATCCAGCGTAGAGCGCCCAATCGCCCCACGCGGAGCCGGTCAAGCCGTCCTGGAAAAACATTCCGATGATAGCCATCATGGCAAGGCGACCGTTGGCGATCTCTGCCGCCAGCTTCTTCTTCTTCTCCCCGGCATCACTGGACGTCAGCACCTTGAAGCCGAAGTCGCCTGCGGCGGCAGCGGTGCCAGCGGACTGGTCCTGGGACAGCTCGCAGAACGCGCCGTACGCCACGATCTGCGCCCAGCCCGCCGCGGGAACCTTGGAGATCGCACTGAGCCCGTTCGGGATGTCCGCGAACTTCACGCCCGCGGACGGCGACAAGTACCCTGGCAGCTTGCCGGTAATCTCTGGGGTGATGTAGCCCATCGTCGCCAGCATACTCACGCGGCCGTGCTTCAGCTCGGTCTGGCGCCGGCGGGCGAAATTAGCCGTGCTACCATCCGCCGTGAACCCAGCAGGGTCCCAGAAGCCGACCGGGTCCTGCACGCCCAGCTCACTCTCGAACGCGCGCAGCGGGGATCCAGTGTAGAGCGCCCAGTCGCCCCAGGCAGAGCCGGTCAGGCCGTCCTGGAAGAACATGCCGATGATCGCCATCATGGCCAGACGACCGTTGGCGATCTCAGCTGCTAACTTCTTCTGCTTCTCCCCGGCGTCGCTGGACGTCAGCACCTTGAAGCCGAAGTCACCCGCCGCGGCAGCGGTGCCAGCGGACTGGTCCTGGGACAGCTCGCAGAACGCGCCGTATGCCACGATCTGCGCCCAGCCCGCCGCAGGAACCTTGGAGATCGCACCGAGCCCGTTCGGGATGTCCGCGAACTTCAGGCCCGCGGACGGCGACAGGTACCCTGGCAGCTTGCCGGTAATCTCTGGGGTGATGTAGCCCATCGTCGCCAGCATACTCACGCGGCCGTGCTTCAGCTCGGTCTGGCGCCGGCGGGCAAAGTTAGCCGTGCTACCATCCGCCGTGAACCCAGCCGGGTCCCAGAAGCCAACCGGGTCCTGCACGCCCAAGCTAGATCTGAACCGCGCCCGGCCGGGGGGGGGGCAGCGGGGAATGGGGATCGTGTTGAGCGCCCAGTCGCCCCAGGCGGAGCCAGTCAGACCGTCCTGGAAGAACATGCCGATGATGGCCATCATGGCACGGCGACCGTTCGCGATCTCCGCCGCAAGCTTCTTCTGCTTCTCCGCGGGGTCGCTGGACGTAAGCACCTTGAAGCCGAAGTCGCCGGCCGCGGCAGCGGTGCCAGCGGACTGGTCCTGGGACAGCTCGCAGAATGCGCCGTACGCCACGATCTGCGCCCAGCCCGCCGCGGGAACCTTGGAGATCGCGCCGAGCCCGTTCGGGATGTCCGCGAACTTCAGGCCAGCCGAAGGCGACAAGTAGCCGGGCAGCTTGCCGGTGATCTCGGGCGTGATGTACCCATCGTCGCCAGCATGCTCACGCGGCCGTGCTTGAGCTCTGTCTGGCGCCTCCTGGCGAAATTCGCCGTGCTACCATCCGCTGTGAACCCGGCAGGGTCCCAGAAGCCCACGGGGTCCTGCACGCCCAGCTCGCTCTCGAACGCGCGCAGCGGGGATCCAGTGTAGAGCGCCCAGTCGCCCCACGCGGAGCCGGTCAAGCCGTCCTGGAAGAACATTCCGATGATAGCCATCATGGCAAGGCGACCGTTGGCGATCTCTGCCGCCAACTTCTTCTGCTTCTCCCCGGCATCACTGGACGTCAGCACCTTGAAGCCGAAGTCGCCTGCGGCGGCAGCGGTGCCAGCGGACTGGTCCTGGGACAGCTCGCAGAACGCGCCGTACGCCACGATCTGCGCCCAGCCCGCCGCGGGAACCTTGGAGATCGCCCCGAGCCCGTTCGGGATGTCCACGAACTTCAGGCCAGCCGAAGGCGACAAGTAGCCGGGCAGCTTGCCGGGTGATCTCGGGCGTGATGTAACCCATCGTCGCCAGCATGCTCACGCGGCCGTGCTTGAGCTCTGTCTGGCGCCTCCTGGCGAAATTCTCCGTGCTACCATCCGCTGTGAACCCAGCAGGGTCCCAGAAGCCCACGGGGTCCTGCACGCCCAGCTCGCTCTCGAACGCGCGCAGCGGGGATCCAGTGTAGAGCGCCCAGTCGCCCCACGCGGAGCCGGTCAAGCCGTCCTGGAAAAACATTCCGATGATAGCCATCATGGCAAGGCGACCGTTGGCGATCTCAGCCGCCAACTTCTTCTGCTTCTCCCCAGCGTCGCTGGACGTCAGCACCTTGAAGCCGAAGTCACCCGCCGCGGCAGCGGTGCCAGCGGACTGGTCCTGGGACAGCTCGCAGAACGCGCCGTACGCCACGATCTGCGCCCAGCCCGCCGCGGGAACCTTGGAGATCGCCCCGAGCCCGTTCGGGATGTCCGCGAACTTCAGGCCAGCCGAAGGCGACAAGTAGCCGGGCAGCTTGCCGGTGATCTCGGGCGTGATGTAACCCATCGTCGCCAGCATGCTCACGCGGCCGTGCTTGAGCTCTGTCTGGCGCCTCCTGGCGAAATTCGCCGTGCTACCATCCGCTGTGAACCCGGCAGGGTCCCAAAAGCCCACGGGGTCCTGCACGCCCAGCTCGCTCTCGAACGCCGCCATCACTACTCTGTGCTGCGCGGGGCCCTGCGGTCGCGCCTTCCGGGCGGCGTTGGACAGCGCACCCCTGGTGAGCAGGGCGAGGGCCACGGACGCCCCGATCATTGTCAGGCCGACTCCGACGGGCGCCGCCGACTGAGAGGCGGGCGCCGCGCCAGGCGCCGCGGACACCGTGGTCGGCTCCATATGGCCATCAAGCCCACGCTGGCCGAGAGGCGGCGCCACGAAGGCGTTGCCCAGCTGGCAGACCACCAGGCCAGCGGCGAAGGCGGCCACGAACGCGGCGATGCTGGAGTGCGCCATTGTTTCTTGGTTGAAAAAAGGAATTCGAATTGAATGGGAAAGTGGGAGCTGTGAACGCCCAGTTCAAAAAAAATACCTTGGGCCAAAAAAGGCTCCAGAGGTCATGGGGGGCAGGAACAGGCTTGATCGAAACCCAACAGTCGGCAAGCACCCTCCCCTTGAGGGCACGAGGTCGCCGGCCTGTCCTGTCTTGTGGCCCTCTTGGGGAGCGCTTGGTCTCGTCAGCCCCTCGGAGCCATCTTAGGGTCCATGGGGGCCTCCTGGGACGCTTTGGGGTGCGCCTGTGGGACATTTTGGGGGGCGTAGGACTCGGGGGCTGCCTTGAGGCAGTCTTGGAACGTCTCGGAGCCGTCGCGGGGCCGTCTAGGAGGCTTGGAAGCAAGCTTGGACCATCTCGGGGGCGTCTTGGGCCCTAGTGGGGGCTCTAACGAGCCTCTCGGACCCTGTTGGAGCCATCTGGATGGAGCTGGGAGGTTGGAGAGTCGCGAACATGCACGAAGACACAAAGAACGTCGAAGATGTTCGCCTCTCGGGGGCCTTGCGCTGGCCCATCTTACGCAAGTCGGGGCCACCTTGGAACCTCGGGGTGGTTCGGACGATCTTGGGGGGGCCTGATCGGCAGCCTGGGACGTCTCGCCAGCGCCCTGTGACGCCATCGTGGTGGCCTCTCTGCGCCCTCGAGGCCTACGTTGATGCCCCTGCAGGCTTCTCGGGCCAAAAGGTCATCGACGTGGCCGAGGCAGGGCGGGTTAGCTCCAGGGGTATGGCCACCGATCCCCCGCCCCCAAACTCTCCCGAATTCATCGCTTCGATCAATCAAGTGACGGGTCGCATGCTGAACGCGTTTCGTAGACGCTTGCTTGGAAGAATCCCTGGACAAGTCGGAACCGCCCCCTCACCCCCATAAAAAAGAGGGGGAAGGGGGCTGGACACTGGCCTATCGAACCGCCCCCTCTCCACGGGGCAGGTGTTCGAACCGGGGGGATGGGCCCATCCCCCTGTTCATAGGGAGGGGGGTCGAACCGGGAGGGCACCCCTCCGTTCATATATATATATATATATATATATATATATATATATATACCTATATATATACACATATACGTGTATATATGTATATACATATATATGCTGATGATCCGTTCTCCCCGAATGCTGATGAGTTCGCTCTCCCCCACCCGATGGTTCCCCCCCATGGGTGCGGGGTGGTGTTTGGTGCCCCCAACCCCCTTGTGGGTGTGGGGAAATGCGGTACATCGGCGGTGCTCCCCGCCCTCATGTGGCTGGGGGGGCGGCATCAGCATCGGCATCGTCGTCGTCGTGGTCGTCGTCATCGTCGTCGTCGTCCAGGGCCTCGAAACATATTGTCGACACCGTGCCTCGAGGAACGAAATGGATTGCCCTCAGGTCCCTTCGAGTTCTCTGTATCGAATACTGCAAATGTCCTAGGGGCCCACAATCTGGAAGTCCTGACGCTCGCATTAGGGCGCTACTGGGCGCTCCCGTGCGCTGGTGGCGTGTCCTTGCATGACTCACGGACCAAGAAAGCCCCAGTAGGACACCCAAGAGGTCCAAGAGGGCCCCGAGTCGCCCAAAGATCGCTCCAAGACTCCCAAGACGGCCTCTGGACGGCCCAAGAGGCCCCCAAGACGCCCCCAGAGTGTTCCAAGAGGTCCCAAACGAGGGGAGCCCGAACGGCCAGAATCATTGATTTCCTTCGGTGTTTTTTTTTTAATGTTGGCGTTCTCTTTTTGTCTGGCTCTTCGACGCTTCAAGAAAACCGCATGGGCCCCCAAGACCGCTCCAAGACGGCCCAAGAGGCCCCGAAGAGGGCCCCCACAAGCCCCAGGAGGCCCCCAAGACGCCCCAAGAGGGCCCCAAGAGGTCCCCAAGGAGGAGGGCCCGAGCGGCCAAAATCCGGGATGTTCCTCACTTCCGTGTTTGAAGGATATTAGCGTTCTCGCCTCTTCGGGCTTTCGACGCTCCCAGATGGCCCGAAAGGCCCCCAAAGATCCTTCCGAAACGGCCCGAAAGGCCCCCGAGAGGGCCCCCCACACGGCCCAAGGGGGCCCCGAGTCGCCCAAAGGTCGCCCCAAGACGGCCTCTGGACGGCCCAGGAGGCCCCAAGTCGCGCCAAGAGAGCTCCGAGAGACCCCCCAAGGCCCGGGCGGCCACAGTCACCGAGCTCCCATGTGTGTTGGAAAGATGCTCCCCCTCCTTCTGCCTTCCCCCCTCTGTCAATTATCGGGAGCGGCCAAGAGGGGGGTGTCCAAGAGGGGGGAGTGCAAATCATGACCTGCGGCATGTGCGCGGCCCAGCGGGGGGGCCAGGGACGTAATGAAATAAGAAGAGGCGCCATGAAATCTGGGGAAATATCATGGCCCACGCCATGATATCCACCCCCCCCTAGTCATCACCCCCCGTCTTTTCCGCCCCCGAAATTAAAGCTGGGCGCGGCGCGCTTAGCTTCGACCGGAAGAGGCTCGCTCTCGACCCGCGGATCAAAAAGTGTTGGAAAGATGCTCTTTCGCCGAGGGCCCAAGACCTGAAGAGAAGATACGTCCATCGAAAAAGCATTCCCACATCGAGAACAACCGACAGGCGCGAAACACCACGAACTTGACTCGTTCTTGGCCTTCGCGCCATCTGTATATCGGGCGTTGGCAGAACTGGGTTTAGTGGAACCTGGTTTAATGATGAGTACTCGGGGACGGCCCCCCGCCCCGTTCCACTAACCGGAACTGCCGTCACCCGAAAAAACACAAGCTACGGCAGACCTGATTTAGTGATTCTGGCTAGTTTAGGGGCTCTGGGGCCCTACTACTAACGGGGTCCCCCTACCTGGGGTCCTGGCTATACCCGAGTATAACCTCGGCATCAGAGTGCCTAGTGCGGGGTACCGGTCGACACTCCTCATCCGACGGACCGCATCGGCTGGTAGCACCTCGAGGCCTGGCAGACAACAGCCTGGAAGGGAATAGCTTCGGTTCCATTGCGAAGCAGCTCTCAGCGTCTGGCATCCGTCCAGGAAGGACGAGGCCAGCAGGAGGAGGCAAAAGGTGGATAAGGAGGAGAAAGACACGACGACGACGAGGAGGACGAGGAGGAGAGAGACTTCCCCCAAGGTGCACATGCAAGAGACGCAGAATAGCACAGAGAGTGGGAGGGAGAGAAGGAGAGAAAGAAAGAAAACAAAAGAAAGAGAAAGAGGGAACAACTGGCATAGAGAGAGAGAGAGAAAGCGGGATAGAGAGAGAGAGAGCGAGAGAGAGAGAGAGACAGAACGACAACCACAAAAACAACAGCATCAACAACCACAATAACAACAACTACAACAACAACCAGAACAACAATGATAACAACCACAACAACAACAACAACAACAACAATCATTTTAAGACTGATCGCTCTTATCTGCTCGAGTGTCCGTTAACGCGTATTTCCCAAACCCTCGATACCCGACCCCAAGAGGGACGGACGGAGAACCGACCACGACGACGACGACGACGACGACGACGACGACGACGACGACGACGACGACGACGACGACGACGACGACTTCGACGACGACGACGACGACGGCGACGACGACGGCGACGACGAGCGAAAGCGAGAGCGAGAGAGAGAACGACAGCAGGGCCACGAAGGGCACGAAGTAGGCCACGAAGGGCGACAGCGGGGACACGAAGGGAATGCGTATGGGGCCACGATGGGCGCGAACGAGCGGGGGCCACGAAGGGCAGATAATGCGGGGCCACAGAAGGCAACGACGGGGCCACTGAGGGTAGCAACTGGGCCATGTAGGACAGCGAGGGGGCCACAGAGGGCGACAGCGGGGCCACGAAGGGCATGCACATGAGGCCACGGCGGGCGCCAACGAGCGGGGGCCACGAAAGGCATACGTATATTGGGCCGCGGAGGGCAAGGACGGGGCCACTGAGGGCAGCAACTGGGCCGAAGGGCAGCGAGGGGGCCACGAAGGACAAAAGCGGGGCCACGAAGGGCATGCACATGGGGCCACGTCGGGCGCGAACGAGCGGGGGCCACGAAGGACATACATATATGGGGCCACGAAGGGGAGCGAGGGCGCCACGAAGGGCTGCAACGGGGCCACAAAACAAAGCGAGGGGGCCACGAAGGGCTGCAACGGGGCCACGAAACAAAGCAAGGGGGCCACGAAGGGCTGCAACGGGGCCACGAAACAAAGCGACGGGGCCACGAAGGGCTGCAACGGGGCCACGCTGGGCAGCCAAGGGGCCACGAAGGGCAGCGAGATCCCGATTTCTACATAATCTGTGAGGGAGTTCTATGCGTGAGCGCGACTCCTGGGTGCCTGACGTGAGCTGACGCGTTTCGGTGCTCGGGGAGGGGGGGGGAGGGGGGGGGCGCTCGGGAGGGACTGGGGGAGTGCTTCGGGGGATGTGAGTGGGAGTGAAGGGGGGGAGGTGGGCTGACGCGGCTGACGTGGGCTGACCGCGTTTCGGTGCTCGGGGGAAGGGGGGCGTCGGGGGGGCGGAAGGGGGGAAGGGTGGATGGAGGGTATTATGGGGGGGGAGGGCGAGCTTCGCTCTGGCGAAGGGAAGGGGGGTGCTGACGCGGGCCGACGTGGGGGGAGGGGGCCCTCCAGTGCCCCGACGCCCAGGCGCAGCGAGCAGGCGGCATCACACGACCACGGCGCCGCCATGCCGCCGCGCTGGCGGCTGCGTCCTCTGCCCGGGGCCTCTCCCCGGGCCTCGGGTGGGGGCCCCCACGCCGGCCCCAGGGAGGGTCGCGACTGGGGAGTTCCCGACCGGGGAGGATCGCCAGCGAGAGAGGATGGGAGTCGCGACCGAGGGGCGGGGGGCGCGACCCGAGAGGAATCGAGACCGGGGGAGGCTCGCTATGCGGGGGACGCTCGCTATGCGGGGGAGACCGTCTCCTGCTGTCCTCCCTCCTGCGTCCTGTTTTTTATTTTTTAACGGGGGGGGGAAAACAAACAAAAAAAAAAAATTATGCCAACG